GATGCTCTACCACTGAGCCACAAGGTTCAGTTATGCTCAAGTTATGTTCCAGAAACTACTAAAAAGATTGTGTATATATAGAAAATTTTTTTGTGCTGGTCACTGAAGGCTTAGTCTCAATAAAGGGTTTAATTAGCCAATTATCACTCATTTATCAAAAAAAAATTTTACCAAGCAAACAATCTCAGAGCACTAATTGAGCTTGGATGACTGTGCTCTCAAAGAAAATCATGTGCTATTCATGGTTTGTCTCCTATTCTAGTTTTATCAAATTTTTGTCATGTCTTCCTTTACACAGCTCTTATGTCACAGAAACAAACATTCCATCTTGATTCACCAGCCAGAAAATTCTTTGCCTGTCAATTACAGCACTGTTCATTGAGCCATAACAGAACTGAAGGACAATGGTTGTACAAGAATGGAAATGTGAAATTTTGTTTCGATCAAGTTTGGGTGCAAGGTATTGTTGTTCTGGTGGGAGCTGATGGAAATGACTTTTTACTGGATGATGGTACAGGTATCATTGAAGTCACAGGTGTTACCAAGCTTGTAAGAGATTTTTCCCTTCATAAAGGTAGGTATTGTGGACAAGATATTAATTAATTAATGATTGCAGGGTGTGAAATTAACTTCTTTTTCTGCTAGCCACTTGGCTCCTAAATTTTTCAAAGTGGTAGTCAATTCAAAAAAAGTTGGTCGCCATTTTCAAAGACAAACAAAACCTTTTTTTTACACTGTCATCATTCAAGAAATTAAGTTAGGTAAAAGATCTTTCACGTGCTACAAAGTGGACACTAGGATGGATGATATGCAATGTTCAAGCTCACCTAAATCCAAGATGGCATCTAGTTATCGATTGAGATGCATGTGCTGTGTTTTGGAAACAAACTTAACGAGGAAGTTTGCCACGGATTTATCTTTGCAAATCTTTTTAATTCACTATATCAGTAGGTACATGTTAGGTTATGATGAAACATTCTAGTTGCCAATAGATTTGGCAACTAATTTTCAGCATTTGGTCGCCAAAGTGAAAAATCTAGTTGCATTGGCACCTGTATTAGGTACAATTTCATGCCCTGGATTGTCATACTAGAAAATGTTCAGGCTGTTTCCAGTCCATTGCTTGTGCCTAATGTCTTCTGTGATGCATTGAAAACAATGAACATCACAGAAGTACTTGAAAATTTTGTTGTCTTGGAAATCAAGGAGTAGCAAGCCCTTTCTCCAATGTGATTGGTGTCAACACAAAAACTGTACCTGAAATAAATTGTGGTCTTGTCCGAGAGATGCAGTGGTCTTATGGTTATTGCACTGGGCTCTGAGTCTAGAGGTCAGACACTGACAGGGTCTTTGTGTTGTGTTCTTGGGCAAATAGTTTACTTTCACTGAGCTTCTCTCCACTCATGCATGTAAACAGGTACAGGAGACCAGTCAGGGAAGCTTAATGAAGTGCAGGGGGTGGCCTTGTAATGGACTAGACCCCATGCATTCTCAAAACTTTTAAAAAATTACATAACTATTGTTATCTGAAATACATATAGAGATGATTCAAATAACAGTAATTTTCAATGATAACAAAGAAGGTAAATAAAATTAAAGGAGGAAAGGGCAACAAGAACATACCTGACAGTTTGGATATTAGTGCGAACGATGTGGTGATACTGTGCAGAGGTTGGGGACCAGCAAACCACTGAATGACTGTTACAACACCTGCTTTTACCTCATGGTTTTTCAGAAACTGATAATAAGATCTTACTTCATAAATTGTGATGACTGAGCCAAAAATCTATGACTTTTTTTTATTCTGTTTTATTGATTTCTATTGATTTCTATTGATTTGTCCACCCTAACCTCTCAGTACCCTTTCAACTTTGACTATCCTAGCAAGTAAGCAAGACACATATGAACCTATAGTATATGGACTAACTCATTAACAAGCTCTCCTCAGCTAAGTTGGTTGTGCATCCTTGTGCAAAATTTAACCTGCTAGGCACTGAGACTTTCTGTAGAGCTATTTCCCTTGCATTTTGTCCAATGCTTTATATCCCTGAGGTACATTTTTGTTTGGTCCAATAAGATGAATCTTTAAATTATCTTTACAGGAATGTATGTGATGATTGCTGGAAGACTGCAATCAGTAGGCAATTTTGATCAGAAACAATACCCAACCATCAAGGTGTTGAAAATTGCCAACCTCAGCAGTAATCCTCATAGTGAGATGTTATGGATGGTGGAGGTAATAGATGCCCAGTCTAAATCTGGAACGAACAGAAAATAGAAATATACCATGTACGGGTATTTTCATTCTTTTTTTCTTTTTGTGATGACATTTGTTTCGAGTGAATCAGACTTGTGTCCCTTGTGATCTGTGTACGTCTTAAAATAAATGCGCTTGGTCTTCAGATTGAAAACGTGTCTTAGTATGTCAACACATACCTGTAGACGTCGGCTTTACAGTCGACCTCAGAGCTTTGATTCAAAGAAAGTTTCAGCACAGCTAACATGTGGAAAAGGAAGCAAGAGAATAAAAACCGCGGCATACATATGGGGTCATAGAGTAGATTAGGCAACGGATGTAAGAAGACGAGAGGGTAAATGAATTGGCGTTATTCACATTTAATTTCGTCCACTCAGGAAAGAAAAACACTTCTTCGCTAATGTCATTAACAAAGGGGAAATTTTATCGCAATTTTAAGGAAAATTCAAGTTATATAAGACGCGTTAAATGACATAACATACCTAAACTGAAAATTGTGTTACAATTTGCTACAATCTCTATATCTCTACAATCTCCGCGTGTCTAAACTGTTTGTCATGGTTTCCGATATCGAATTTCCAGCCGTGTTTATCAGTCGCTAAGGGTGTCCCACATTATCTAGCATGGAAACCATGGGAGATATCTTGTGACGGCCTCGTCAAAGTCTAGGAAATTTTGCTTAATTTTCTAAAGATTCTACATCATGGAAGGTCGTCGCGCCCGAACAAGAAGCAGCTCTAGCGCTTCAAGTCTGTTCTTCCCCGCACCGAAAGTACCTCCTCAAAAGGGTAATTTCGTAATGACCTTTTTCTCGTGTCCTGTTGGCAATGTCGAGCAAGCGTCGTCTTCAACGCACTCAGCGCGCCCCAGAGCCACAACAATCGCGGAGAATACATACAAGATGAAGCCTGAGAAACGATTTAGCGCTGAAGAGGTTCGAAGCATCATTGTTCAGCATCTACAGTCTCTAGAGTCGCAAACGTACGAGGCGAAGAGATGCAGAGAGCTCGCTAAAGGTATGTCTAACTCAATCATGAGCGACTTGAAACAGCTTGGCTACGCTCGGTTTAAATTCGTGTGTTCCGTGACGATTGGACAAGTAAAAGGGCAAGATGTGAGAATTGCCAGCCGTTCCATCTGGGACACTGACTGTGATACATTTGTGTCAGAGAGCTACCATAACGACTCTGTATTTGCTGTCTGTGTTGTGTTCGGAGTTTATCAAGAGTAGTTTGATCGCTGCACATGACAATCACGTCTTTGCGTCCTTCAAGAATGACTTGATTTTTGATTGACTACAATCTGAGGGAAGCTACAGTTAAAAACTGCCTAGTTTAGCCCCGAATGTCGTACTCTCGTGCCAGAAAATTTCAAGAACAGTGCATCTTCGGTGAAGTTTATCCAGAAGAAGAAATTGCGATTTAAATCAGCGTTTTTATTAATAGCTGGTTTTCTCTCTGGGCGCCTTATTTTAGGCCGAAACTACACTTCATACTGAAGGAAATTGCCAATATATTGCATCTAAACATACTTATTTCAACCAAGCGTCGGCGCTTCAAATATACTTTCAAATATTTGGTTCATGGATATCGAACGTATAACGAAGGTTTGATCGCATATTTTCGTATCCGGTTTGGTTTATGCGAAATTATGATCAAATTAAAGTTTGAACAAACTAAATGAGTTGAAGAGAAACTTCTCAACTGCATTTACATGGCAGGAAAAAATAGAATTAAATCTTATTAACGTTAATTTACTTTTAGGTGGTTTACCACTCAAAATATTTTCATGACCTCCTGATTAAACTGTCATCAAAACCTTGATTTGTTATGCTGTCATAATGATGTAATAAGAGTAGGTTTTTTTTACAAGAACTTTCTCCACCCAGGTGGGGTCGGTAAAGAGGTGCCAGGTGCTAGTATTTGTGATAGCTAGATCACCCTTATGTCTCGGTAACAATCTGAAAATCATAACCCACGAGTTCTTCTTAAACGATAAGAAAAAGAAAATTGCAAAGGTATATCAGGTGTTCGCGGTATTTTGGGCCACAGCCATTCGCCACCTAACCATCAACCACCGCGCTTCCTGTTTCCCGCTCACTTACCAAGTTCCTTTGGGTTTCGACGGACGTTATCAACTGCATATTTTACTCTTTCTTTTTTAACAAATAAAAATTGAACATTTTCGTAACACAATTTATGAAAGGATCATAACGGGAAGCGTGGAAACAGGTCAGTGACCACCATTAGTAAGTCCGTCTCGTGCGTCGATGTACATAAAGCCTCGGACAGACAGCGCCATTGATTTCTGTCGGTTGCCATCTGGTCACGCTGCTCCCATGTCCAGCCTCCGTTCCTCGTTTCCTTTTCTACGGTTCTCCTCCAAGTTCCTTAGGGCGGCCTCTCTTTGTCGGCCGTCGGGCAGTCTATCGAAGGGAGAACTTTCATGACTTTTGGGTCTGGCCCGATCAGATTCTTTCGTTGTGAGTGAGAAACATGCGTCATTTATACACGATCTTGACTGCTGTAACGAGTTGTTGGTGGAACAGAAGTGTTGTCAGCGCACAAGCTGCGCCAAAGCCCCTTTACTCGTGATGTAAACACAAACGCCAGTGCAACATACAGTCCCGTGAAAGTTGTTGATATGATAAACGGGTATCGAAAGTATTCCGACACCAGACCCTGCAAGAAGCCAAGAATCCATGTAAACCCCATCAGGATAAAAATTTTGGCAAATACCGCGGCAGTTTTGCGATTCGCTGCGTGGTGAGTTGCCTCTCTCGCCTGCTGGTTTGTTTTCCGTATAACTATCACAGTCAAGACAAAGAACACAATGTTAAACGAAATGGCGATAGCTATTGGCAAAACGAACGAGAACAAATTTGCAGTGGGAATGTTTATCCAGCAGCTGTTGGTCCCAGTCTCGCCATAGCGAAAAGAGGCCGCGCGGGACTGGTCAAGAGTTACGCACACAAAGACAAAAACAAACGGAGGGACCCATCCGCAAGCCATTCTTCTTAGCACGTTACCACACTTTTGCCTTCTGCTTGGATTTCTGGGCTGGATGCGGATTTTGGAAAATGCCCTCCACGTTTCAAATGCAATAATTGACATCCAAGTGAAGGAAGCTAATAAGAAATAATGCATTGTTATGGCAACTATTGTACATGCAAGCTTTGGCAATCCGCATCCAGAAGCAATGAAAAGCGAGTCCTTAAACAAATGTGCTATAGAAAAATTCATCAAATTGACTCCGGGTAAAGTGCGAAGCTCTTTAAATAGTGAATAAGTCACTAAGACTATCAGAAAACTGAAAATCGAGACGGAGAGACCGACATAAGTTAGCACCTCCGAGACCATTTCCTCCATCGTTGAATCATTCGTCAGCGTTTCATAAAAGTAACTCGAAGAGAAGTTTACACAAAACCATAGATATCCATTAATAAAATGAAACCGTCCAGGCTTTATGACTTCTCCCGAAACGTTTCGATATAGAGAATAGTTTGACGAAATGAAATATTCGTCCTTCGTTAATCGAATGAAAACCCCTGAACAGTTTATCGCGGGTTGTTTGCACACTGTAAGGACCCCTGAGGGAACGTAAGACCCATTTGTCAGATTGATTTCGTTCGTGTAAAGGTCAATTTCTTGAAACGTTTCTCCAGTAGCTGAGATAGTTACTACATCTCCTTGCAATGTATACTCATCGGGTTGGAAGATTTCTTTTACAGGACAATTAAAATATCTCATAATTACATTGAAGACAGTAAAGTTTGTGCCATTGAATTCAATAGAAAGAGAGCTCAGTGCCGTCTTGAGGCTACGAAAAGAAAAGTCCGATATCGTTTGGCTTAAATCGAGATTAAAAGCTGCTATGACTGTTGCCGTAAGCTCAAGAGTACCCGGAGGATATGCAATTGCGATTCCGGAAATAGATGTGTCATTTATGTCCAACTTCCCGACAATGGCTTGTTTAACTTGAGGCTCAGTTATAACTGGAAATTGCAGAGGTGAAATGTTAGCACGCATGAAAATCGCAACGATAAAGACTCTTTTACTGAAGGTTGTCAAATCAAAGGCACTTATACCGAAGCGGCAAACTTGGATGAAATTGTCATAGACTTGACCCATTGGACATTGAGTTTTTGATATTCTTCTAGCAGGTATTTCTCTTGGGGTGGAAGAAACCAGCTTGAAAAGAACTGTATAGGAATTACCCTGCACCTCAAGACTCGTCTTCTGGAGCTTCGTCAGGATCCATTGTGTTAAATTAAATGCACCCGTCAAATGTCTGGTGGTATTCAATGTCAACGAGTGATTGAGAGTAGAATTCCCATAACTTTCTACTCCATTTACTGACAAAGGGCCAACATTTCTACGTCCTCTTTTCACGTGTTTTTCTACGAGAAACGAGCAATTTTTTCAGGACAAAGTTTCTAAATTTATGAATGATGTAATCACGCAAGCTTTGAGCAAATACAAATGATTTATTGAACAAAGAGTGAAGTAGAGAATGCTCTTTTTTCGTCCTTTCTCTCGGATTGTGGGACAAAGTAAAAGTTTTGCGTCCCATAAGGAACTGAACCTCAGAGCTTCAGATTCCGAGTTCAGATATGCTCTTCCACTGAGCCCACTGATCATGGCAGTATGCAGGACTCGTGCTGTTTAACAACCCAGGAATGGCCGCAAGATTACGAAAGAGTCTCTGTGGCTCAGAAATAGAGCATCGAAGCGCGGAATTTGAAAGTGTGACGTTCAGTTCCTCACGTGGACTCTGAAGTTTTATTGTTTTGTTCAGTTCACGTTCGTGAAAACACAAACATGACGCCATCAACACTGCTGATCCTTGCAGTATGCTGAAAGGACGCATGTAATAAATGAACTTCGAAGTGTTCTTGCTCACAGACGTGACAGAGTCTCTGTGGCTCAGTGGTAGAGCATCGGAGGTCTGTGGTTCGATTCCTCACGAAGACAAGACAAAAAAACATCTTTCGATACGAAAGAACAGGTTTCCCTATTTCATCACTAAGCTAAAATTTGACTTCTTATTCCAAAGAGTGAAGTGTTGTGATATATGCAGATGTTGGCCACATCCATAACTGGCATATTAGTGGCCCTTTGTGAAATTATTTAGAGTGTAAATCTTGTGTGGTGTTTTGTAAAGATTATATCATTTTCTTGCCTACCTGCAAGCTCTGTCAGCTTTCCACTGCATCTCGAAGGGCAGCCCTCTAATATCAAACAGTAAACAGCGAGATAGAGCCCTAAGCAGCTCGAATGTTTCCACATCATCAGAATCATTACGGAGACTGCCACGGAGTGATCGGTAGTCCTAATTGAAACTAGACAAAATACTTTTTTTGTTCTCCGTTCCTTTAAGAATTATAGATCTATTGACATGTCTGCCTAATATAAGTAAAAAATCATTGCTATATATGCTAAGTATTGATAAGAGATTGGTCAAACTTTCGTAACCTGTCAAATATAGTTTAAATGACATCATTAGCAATTCTGTCGTGTAGGTTCATGCTGCGAGATATTAGGAGGTCGTTTTTCGGCGCCATTAGCCGCAGGCAACGGTGTGCCGAGGATAACAATGATCAGCAATCAATTTTTCTTTGGACGGCGGCTTAGAAATACCCAAAGTTTTAAAACGCAGGCACAGGGTTGTTGTTCTATTTACGAAGTTCCTGGTCCGTTACGATGATGCTTTGGGACGCGTTCTTCGTAATATTAATCGTTGTCTGGAAGCGTGGTGGAGTTTTCAAAGGTAGCTGTTTTCTTTTTTTTCAGCAGAGAATAAATAATTCTTAATTTGAAAAACTACAGAAAACTTTATGGCTGTGTGCCTATGCTTTGAAATCATCTGTAATCAGTTTTCCTATAACGCAATTTGCATTGGAAATTTTAGCACGTACTGCCTTGATCGTGCCTTTAGGTGCATACGTATGTAGCAGTCTCTTCCCTTTCTACTAAAAGGGAGAGGCTTGAGCCTAACATGAATCACGGGGTTAGCATGGAAGACATGTCAAGAGCGCGTAACTCCCTTTTTATTTGCTCCCTTTCGCTTTATGCTTTCGCGTGACAGTTATTGAGCTAAAAGGAACAGAAAAACATGCTACACAGATAATTGTTTTTTTCATTGATCTCCCTTATGCAAAAATCTTTTGTTTTTATTTCTTTTGTTTTTATTTATTGTTAATGTTCTCTTTTTTTTGATAAGTCAAGTATTCTATAGAATTATGCAAACACGTTAAGATGCGTTTTCAATTAAAACCTCGTATGAATTGAGGTATGGTTGACAGATTAGTCACAACGACCCGCTTTGGCGCCTTAAGTAATGTTATTAATCTGAAAAAGCTTTTTTTTTTTATTATTATTTAAAAAGCCATCTCTGAGGACTTTAATTGACCAATACATCTCTTTTTCATAAATTACATGTCCTAGTCTCATACAGAGAATTCTCCTCGTTAAACACGCATATAAAATTTTCGAATAGATTTTTTTTTTTGCACAAAGCTTTGACTTCTGATTTTAAAATTATTTGATGCGATTAAAAAGAGACGGTTGGAGCAACAAGGCGAGAAAAAGATGGAATTTTTTGGGTTGAAACATGGACAAACAAACCGATTATCGAGTTTAAGAGTGACCGGCGTCTAATTTCTCCTTATCATTTTACCCCTGAACTAAACATTAAGGTTACAAGAATAAAGGAAATGATCACCAACTAATGTATCTATTGATTGTTTAACAAATTCTCGGATCAATATCAGTATCTGGGCAACTGCCCACCTACCCCTCCCCAAACCCAACATTAACTTTAACTTGTTGTCAATTGACTGTTGTTGAGTTAGGGGAGGGGTAGGTGGGCAGTTGCCCAGATACTGATACTGATCCAAATTCTCCTTGTCAGAACCCTAGAAAATGTACAGAGAACAGTTTAAAGAACATGCATACTGATATTAAGGGTGTAAAGTGGCACGGTGTAATCTTACCGACAGAAAAACGCTAGTATTAAGGAGCGGATCACCCTCTAAAGAAGATCTTGCTTGTTAGACAAACTCTCCTAATCAGCATTTTAGGAAATGTTTAGAGAACAGTATGGAGAATATGCACACTGATTTTAGGTTGTAAAGGGTGAAGCGAGTTTTGCGGCCTCTTCCTAGGTCTCTATCTCTCAACTCCGTTTGACTGTGGTGGATCATTGTCGGTTTAAGTGGAGTTGGAGAATCGGTGAGATTCTTTGCTCCCAAAAAAAACCTTGAAAGAATACTTGGCTTTTTGCTTCTAGATGTTGATCCGCTGAGAGTTTACACCAAACTCTTAGACCTTGATTAATTTAGGGCTTGAAAAAGATCTATTCGTATTGACCTAACAAACGAACCGTCTACCCAGAATTCAATTCGAAGTAGCACCCTTTCTCTAGAGTGATCTTGTATGCAATATTCGCTAGACCCATTCACCGTTGGTAACATTTAATGGCTTTTCTCCATTAGCAGATGCCGCTTTCGCCATCTTAAGACGTTTAAGCTGTTTGCAATGTTTTAGCCGTAGCTCTTTATATGTCATCGAAAACCGTTGATAAAATTCCTCTACCAATTGCTGTAACTGTAATTTAGCCATGATATATTCTGTTCTTTGTCTTTCTCGTTTGGCTAAAAAAGGAAACAAAAAGCTATTGATAAGTCTCTCCTCTAAGTCTCTCTAACCCTAAGCTTTTTGACCCCTGAGATTGCAATACCACCCCTGAGTCACAGATTAAGGTTTTGGGAATAAAGAGATCACCAACTAAAGAAGCCTGAATTCCCTTTTCACTGCTTTAGTAACGTTCATTACTGCGAAGATCACTCTCATCTTCATTTATAAATCCGCAGTTCAAACAAATGATATTCATATATTCACATTCATTCGAAACTCTTATTGTCAAACAAATTCTCCTTACCAGCGCCCTAAGAAATGTATAGAGAACAGTATGGAGAATATGCACACCGATTGGTTCAACGGATGATGTCAGTTTCCTTTAAGGGAGTGAGATTAGCAAACCCATAGATTTGCTCCTTTCTCCAAAGCTCGTGGCAAATAAATGAAAAATTTCTTCATTCGATGGCCAGGCTCAGAACTTAGCATGTGTCTGTATCTATTTACCTTGTATCTGATATCGTCTTTTCTGTAGTCCTTTATACCACGAGTGATACACCAATCCCATGAACACAGCCAGAAATAGAAGAGCCAGGAAAATAAATATTGTCACTTGATAGATACGTGTTCTTGGATCCAACAGAGGAATGCTGGTTGTCTCGCTCATGTGAATGGAAGTCTGGACGGAAAACTCAGATCGATTAGAGCCCTTCACGAGCGAATTTTGTCACAATGGCCGGTCCGAGCAAACCAAAATACTCAAGACGACAACAAGAGATAAAAACAAATTACGTTTAAACGGCCTTGAACGTTAGAAAACGTGTGTGACTAAGTCTCAACGTTGATTTCGCTTTTGCATGAGATTGCTGATACATTGGACCTGGTTCTCTTAATGGACCAATTACATAGCATGGCGAAGATACACCACAAAAGAACTTGGATTGATTTTTTAACAGGAATGTTCAGGAATGTAACACTCACCTTGTTCTCTTTCTTCTCTTCATTAGTTCTCTTCTTCAGCACCTCTGTAACTGCTACAGTGCCCTTTGTCTCGATGTAATCGCGAAAATGCTTCTCAAGTTTGCCTGCATTTCTACTTATCACAGCCCCAGAGGTAAACTCAAAAGGGATTATTTGACTGATAACTATCCAAGTGACATTAAACAAATCGCCCCTGTAACTTGCTGTGTACAGGTCTACTAGGATGCCATCAACCTCTCCGTACTCCAGGGCTGTTACAAGCTTCTCTAATGTGAGAAATGTCTTACCTAATAGGAAAGAAAATCTCAGATCTATTTTTAGATCAAAAGTGACCAAGCTGAGTAATTTCATAGTTTTTTTTCCTTTTTTTTTTTTCATTTTGTCACCATCGTGGGATGAAGAAAAAATCTGAGCACCTTGAGGAATCGTAAACTTGTTTGTTTGTTCTGTTTTGCTTCGCTTTATCTTTTTTTTTAACTGTTCCAATATGATTTCTTAGTCGAAAAAGTGCATTGAGAATACTACCTAAAATTCCCAGTGTAAACACTACTCAGAATTCCCCGACAGACGGGGTTTTACTTGGTGTCTACAAAACCAAACCCTCTTGTTTGATTACTGGACTACTCATCTTTCAGCGCTCCCACAGAGACTAATAAATGACCATCTGTTGAGAACTGTCTTCACTTAGACAACCCACATTTCTTGAGATAAATGTTGTTTTTCAATAATTAAAAATTTCGACTTACCCTCGCCTGCTTTGGAAATGAATCTGATTATCAGATCATACTCAGGAAACTGAGCCAGCGCGCCCACCTGTGCAAGGAAAAGTAGTCTCTTTAACATGTATCATTATGTGGATGTAAAATTACATTTCAATAATTTTTTAGCTACCGAAATGTTTAGGAGTTAGAATTGCTTACCTTTTTTCCCCGAGCTACGTTTAAATTTCGATCAAGGATTCGTACAGACATGGATGATGTAAGTGAGCTGACGAGAAGGGACGACAGAACGATCCCTGTCAAAAACCACAAGATGGCAATAGATCTGCCAAGATGGGTCTTTGGGTATCTGTCACCATAACTACAAAACAATAAAAGGGAAAAAAGCAACGTTTTATAAAGGCAAAGACTTGGAAGAGGAAGGGAATGGTATCCACACTCCATGCGGTGAATTATTCTCATACCCGACTGTTGTCATGGTCATAAAAGACCACCATATTCCGTCCACGACACCTTTGTAAAGCGGATGTTTGAAATGTTTATCATTGTGGCTAGATTCCTGGAAAGGAAACAGACGTTGTTATAAAAAAATTTATCTGTTCCTCTATGTTAGATGATAAGTTTAATGACTCAATCAGCTGGAATTCGTAGAATGATCTTTACCTCTAGACGAGACTCTAGGACAAAACTCCAACTAAAAGTTAGGTTCGTTTTATACTTTTGATGTCACCTTTCAACACCAGTTTCGCTTCAGGTCTTAGATATCTTGAATTTGATAATGTATATTAGTGAAAAGTGCAATTAATTTAGTCGTCGAAAGTAGTCAGGGAAAGCATAGATAGTTTACTTTCATTCTAATATCGAGTAAGATGTGAACCAGCGCAGCCGGCTTTTAACCAATCAAATGCGTTTTTTAGGAAAATGCACCTCAGTGAGTCCAAACGGAGGGAGGTCCTGTGCTGCTGGTTAGAAGTCAGGGAAAGTTAAACTCCAAGACAAGACAAAGAACCACTTGCAACTACGCACAAACGCGTGTAACTGGATTCTAGCACGTGCCAGTTTTTGTTCATAGCACATGCAAGCACATTGCTGTCACTTTTTTCGTTTAGTTAACTTACTGCGAACCATATTACGAAACCCATCAATATCGCCAGCGTAATAAAAATCGCGAAAATAGACCAGCATCTCAGGACTGAGTTCCCCAGATCTCGAGCATAGCCAGATGGCGTCTTCTTCCTGGTCATCAGAGCCACACCTGGGACTGTGATGAGGGGGACATACGAATGGGTGCCTCTGTAAGTGGTTCGTCCCACTGCTGACCTGATAGGGAACCGAAAATCCATCTTTATTCGACTGTCCGGTTCTGTGATCTTCTCAGTTGTGTTTATGGCGAAGCTGATGTTCCACACTTTGTAGCTGTGGCACGTTCCACACGAAGCCTGAAGCATGTGCGCGAGGAGTTCTGGGATTAGACCACGCGGTTCGCCGCTTAAGCGGTCTTCTGCGACGTACGGGGGGCTTGGGGCCCAGTTTGCGTACATAAGGTGTGGACAGCGGCACGTTTCTAGGAAACAAGGGTAAAGAGAATGAATAATAATAAATTGAAGCCACATTCGCGTTTTCATGAATTATTTTATCCATGAAGCAGACATTTTGAATTGGTCAATTTCTGCCTCTGAGAAAACTAGGAGACCTCTGCACCCTAATTGAATACATCAAAGTCAGTAGAATATCAATTCATGAACATAGCAGCCGTAAAAATGAAGTTTATTAGCTGTCATCAAAACTTTAAGAAGAAGGAGTATTTTTTTTCCTTTTGTACTTTGATCTTCAGGCTAAAATGGAACATATGAAAAAATTTAACGTTGCGCATGAGCACAATGACTAATTTTTTCACAACGATCCATTTTTTCAGTTTTCCATAACTTTAGGAACTAGTTACTTCCTCTCTGGTTGTGATCGATGCTAATCCTACGCAAGTAAGTCAACCTCTTCCTCCTTCCCTCTCCCATTCCCCATTAGTTTTGTCAGTTACCCTAGACGGTTCATTCTTTTACTTTACTTGTAAAAATAACTTTCTTCCTTTTCGACTCGCCGTCCATCGTGATAGCTTCTACCATAACTTTATAGGTAGTGTACGTTTCCAGATCTCCCACCGACACTTCTAGAGAGTCTGCGCTCACATTTAGAGAAATATGGGACGAGTTCACGGGCTCGTTGACTGAAGAGACTGCCTGATAGGTCACGTGATAGTATATCAATTGACTGAGCACTTCATCACGTGGTTTGTTCCATGTGATTTTGAAGCCTGTCGGACTACTGTTGTTGTTCGCTTGCATCTCAGGAAACAAAGTTTCTGTAAATATTAACGAGATTACTAAATTAGTGTTTAGCAGGTATGAACCAATGTCTTCCAAAACCTTCAGGTGAATTGCCAATTATACCTAATTTTTACGTTTTACTTCTTCAGATAAAAGAACTGATGTGAACAGAACAAACAGAAGAAACAGCACAATTTATAGTAAATGGTGCAACACTACTGAAAAATTCTCACATCTAATTTCCCCCCTCTCCCCGTTTCGTCCGGTTATAAACATTTTGATTTGGGCCGATTTCGGACACTTTTGCCTTTTTATCCGACGCTTACGAAAATAAGGCAAAATTTGTCTGATTTCGAACATTTTAATCAATATTGTGATGAAATTGGCTTGTTTTTCTTTTATTACTAATATCTCATCGCCTATTACTTATCGTTTTACCTTCGGACCACGTCCAACCCTCAATGCAGTTGCTCTCTCTTCCATTTCCCTTCTTTGTGAAGGCCAGGACTTTGACACAAACATTTGGCACTACTGGTGATATTTCGAACGAAAACTGAGTTTGATTCACATCCACAGTCTCAGAAAGTAAAATGGACTCAGTGTTAAGTCTTACAATCAGCAACTTGTATCCAAGAATAATTCCATTCTCGTGATCTGGAGGTACTGATTGCCAGCTAACTGAGAATGCCGTGGAATTAAAAGGTGCAGTGGTTACGTTTATCGGCGCCCAACTTGGCACTAAAAGAAACAAACAAACAAACAAACAAACTTAAAACACAGAAACAAACAGGGAAACTAAAGAGGGGTGTCGATGTTAATAATACGCAGTCGTTCTTAGTGCACTAATTTTGCTAAGTTTAGATGACTCCAAACTACTTCGTTAATTTTAACGTTTCCTAAAACTAGTGGGGTGAGGTTATTTTTCAACGTTCTGAGATCATTTTGAGGGTTTTTTTTGTTTATGAAGTTTAATCAGCTTATCAAGATTGACCTAAAAATTGAGGTGGCGAAGAACCTTTTGCAAATATTTTTTTAAAGAAACACAAGTAACATTCAGAGAGGCACAATGCAATAAACAGTGATCGTTGTTTAGTAGAGGAATCCCTACATTATGAACAGCACCAAATATAGCAACATAGAGGTGTGAGCCTTACCGCTCTCTTCTGTTAGCACAAAAACACAGGAGGTCTCCGGTCCTTCTCCCTTTCGTGTAAATCCCAACATTTTGATGCAATACCACGCAAACGGCTTCACTTTACCACTTAACACTGTCACATATGTGTCACCGTAGATGACAGTTTCAAATCTAGGCCAGAACTTAGTCTCTTCATCAACCGGTTTTTCCAAATGAAAAGTGGCGCTCATTTTCATGTACGTGAGTTTAAATCCCAGGATGATGCCGTTTCGATCCTTTTCTGGAATTGGTTTCCATCTCACCTTTATCGACTTTTGATCTGTATTTACTGCAGTGACAGCTTGCGGTGGGGAGTCTGGAGCTGAGGAGGAAGATGAAAGGTTTCCTTTGATCGAATGGTGTTACCGTGGCCTATGACTCAAAACTGAACAATCACTTAACAGGAGCGAAGACTGAACGGCTCCATCTATTTTCTTAATTTGTTTTTCTTGCTCTGGTTCTAAGAACTGATTGGCGCTATTGAATTCAGCAGGAACCATTGTAATTTTCTAGATGTCACTGGTTAAATTTAGTGATTAATGCTTTAGTGGTCTGCATTCCCTTTTGGAATTGCATTGAAGGAGGGAGAAAAAAGGTTCGTTCTCCATGAATGAGGGTAATAGTCGTTTCAGGGTATAACAAGTCGCTGAAGAATTGTATATGGTCTTCTAAAATCCTCATAAGAGAAAATCTAACTTGGTACTCGAGAACACCTTATATTTCCTGTTCAAATACAATGATCGCCTTATCTCAATGCAAACTTCGATGCTTTGGGAAATTTGAACATCCCCTCAGAATCACCTTAAGTTGTACAGAATGAACCTCCCCAAATTCTACACCAAAACAAAGGAGAATGTCACATACTGCTATCTTCTGTCACAAAATTAAAACATTCTTCCTTCCACAAGCTTCCAAAAGCTGTTTGTGGTTCAACCGTGGCACAGTAGTTGGTGAAGATCTTTAGACCTTGAAATGAGATAGAGTCGACACTCCTGTTCACCAGTCTCTCTCTACTAATGTCTCTGTCAGATTTGAGACTGACTTTGTACCCAGTAAAATCAACAACACTCGCTGAAGATCGTTCAAGGGGTATCCAAGATACTACAGCTGTAGTTGTGGTAATGTTGTGGACCTGCACGGGCACTGAAGGATCCTCCTCTAAAGATGAAGGTATTACACAGAGGAAAGTTAATATAGTAATAAGGCCAAGTGGAGTCAAATTTTTACCGGAAATAGGATGGTTTGTCATTGTAGTTTACAGAAACACCGTAAGTAATATCTCAGAATTTACCATAACATCACGAACCGCGCAATTCCTTTGTATTTTTCGTCATTGCTTTTGCCCCAACCCTGTTGCTTTGGATTCCTTATTTCATTTGTTTTTTTACGTTTTTAGTCATCATCTGGCTCCCAACAGTGTTCAATACTAAAACGGTTAACATGTCAAATCAGATAACTAGTTGGATGAATGAGGACAATAGTCCATTTTACAGTTGCGTGCTTGGTTACCAAGCCTTTGAACAGGTGTGAGGCTAAGGTTGACCTTGTTATGATACACACCTTGCTGCTTCTCAAATGTAAATTACTTTTTTAACATGCTTACTAGACACTGGTCTCTATCACAATAAGGTCACCTTCAGCCTCACTCCAAATCAAAGGCTCGGCAACTAAGTACACAACTGTAAAATGGCCTATTAGGTACTTTATCGGTACTCACTGTAGCCACTCGATTCATGTGCGGCACATTCTTGAGAATGATTTGGTTTTGTGGTGATACTAGTTTCCAGTCCCCCGCCACATGTTACGCCACACCGTTTCAATAAAATACAAGTGGTATGCACGGAAGACCCTGGAAAGAAGCGAATTAGACTCAAGGGTTTAAAATGAATCAGTGTGATGCATATAGTCATCTTGACTCTTCATCTCGCTATACTTTCCCTGAAATAAGAGGCAAGCTTATTAGGATAGCAAAATAATGAGTAATTCTTTAAATTCCTTTTTCTTTTTGTATTGTTACAGATTTCCATCGTTTACACAATACTGTAAAATCCAGCACTATTCGTGTAAATAAAGCCTGTTATTATGTTTACATGAGTTCATTTAAGTCTAACTTACTGAGTATTGATACAGAAAAGATGTGTCTTTGAAAAAGTTGAGTGATTTGGCGCGATAACAGTAGCACAAAACATTTGTAGCGTGCTTATAGTCGAAAAAAATGGTTACGTGGCTACGTTAATATGGTAAATTTAAGATTTTTTAAGGAGATTTGAACAATGAAATAATTTCACCCATGAAGATATCAATTACATAAACATATAATGCAGAGGTTTCATCTTTGCAACCAAGCCGGCGTTACCAAGGATACCTTTTGAGTAGAGAACCAGGACGTCGCTGTCCAATGGCTTCGTAGAGTTTGATCCGGGAAATTTAGCGTGAATATGAACGTGGTCATCTAAACGGTAGTTACTGTGTAGAGCCTCAATGTAATACAACTTTCTTCGCTCCAGTTGCTGAAAACAGGATTTCTGCTCAGGATATCTGTTCATTTTAAAGAGAAAAAGTTTAACAAAACTTTGGAATATGTTGTCTGACTAAGCTGAAATGTAGGCCAGGAATATTGAGATAATTTAATAATTGTGGTCTGGGCGGTTAGTCATTAATAGGGTATACTGTCATCACCGTGTGAACCGCTGACCTACAAAAAAGCATGCGTAGTTTACCTTTCCCATTGTTCATATTCAGTCCTGCGCTGCTGATCGATTCGAATGACTTCTTTCTTATTTTCAGGCATTTCGTCCGAACTCAAATAGAAGACACACTCTGAATCACATGATGCATAGAAGGTGTAATTGCCACTGATAGGCGGCACGAAGTAAGCTTGAAGCCGCTGACCGTAAAAATCACCGTCATTTCTTGGCGGTGTAAACGTTGGAATGGTTTCGACCGTTCTTGGGGAGTTTGGAAACCTTAGATCTGAAGTCAGATGAGTCAGAAACCAGCCGCCTTTAAGATCGGTCCATTTCTCTCGGCGAGCCCCTCGATATTCTGTTTTAATAAATGCCAACAAAAAAATTCAAATTTTTGGGTGATTTGATGGATCACCCGGATTGATCAATTACAAAAAGTTGTATTAACCTATTTCACGAAAAGAGGGCATAAAAAGTATATTCCATCCTCTACACACACGTAACTTTGGTGTTACGTTATGTGTTCATTGTATAGACTGTTGGAAACGTTAGCCAGCTATTGAAGCAATAACTCAGAGCTACCATAGTTAAGGTGTGATGATTACTGTGTCGACAAGTTCGATCTGTAATCATAGCGTAATACAATTTTGTCTCGTAAAGTGAGGTGTTTGCTGTCAGGGGCGAAGCGGAGGATTACAATGATCTCCTTTCAATATTTGTGTTTTTAAATACATTCCAAGTTTGGAACATTACGTTGCAAACTTGGAAAGAAATTTAAAGAGTACTTTATAAAGCATTGGGTTACAGAAGGTAATCATTTATTAGCTGAAGATACAGAAACCAAACCGATTTTTTTCTTCCTTTATTATCCTGGACTCCATTTTATTCTGGATCTCAGACTTCAATTCATCTGAACTTAATAATCAATAGTAAAACCTACATAAATCTATGAAACCTCTTTTAAAATTATACGTTTTGAATAAAGCTCTCGATCAACATTCATTCTTTTGCTAATTTCTTATAATCAAGACTCGGTTACATAATGTCGAATTGCTTCATAAAATGTCAGCTTATAATTGCACTGGCAAATGACAGACGAAAGTTATAACCAATTTGGTGCTTGGCGTGCCTGCCGTTTTAAGCAGCACTCGACGAAAATGTTCTGAGAATCTTCAACGGGTACCATTCTACAGAAATTTTTTTTATCATTTTCAAACATGAAGAATTTTTTGCGGACTACCTTATATTTTATTGATGCTTTTTTGTACTGCCTTGTTAATTGGATTTCAAAGGACGAATGGTGATTTCCTCAGGTACTTGTGATTTTTTTTTTTTAAGTCAAGCTTGCTGTGAAATTTTGACTTTCCAATTTGAAAATTAGACCAAAAAATGGATGTCATAACAGATGAATATGGTGGGAGATAAGTTTTTTTCCTTCATCAAATGGTCTTACCTTTGGGGATGCACGTAGATATTTCCCCGATTGTTAATTTTGTCACGGCAATCAAAACGAAGAGCTGAAAAAATGAGGAAAACACTTAATAAAACATTCATTCGTCGCAATAAATAGCAAGAAAGAACCTATCTTACCTGTGAAGTCGAGGAAAGCATTAACATTGGAAAGAAATTGATTCTAATTCTTCAATGAAGAAAAAGCTTACGATCGAGATTGTTTTCTCCAATTTTTTTCCTGATTCTGCTCTAAGAAAATTTACATCTGAGCTATAATATAGTTTGTCACATCACAGCGGATATTACAAGGAACGGTCAATCTAAACAGAACTTCTGAAAACAAAGGAGACAGCGTTTTCTCATTGTGTGGTTTCAAATAGCCAAAACATTCTATTTAAATGGCAATATGTTACTTGCGCAGATGTCTTAGTTCAGACACATATTTCCCATCACATAAATTAAATTATGTGTAAAAATTGTTTCGTATTCTCCAAACAAAAGATAAATTACTTATTGCCTTTTGTTTAGTATTTCCACAAAACTGAAAATGTTCATAAACAAATCTACAGACACGAAAGAGATCATAATTTTTGCTTCGTCGTTCCTGTTCAAAAACGCATCTTGCTAAGATAAAAAAAAATCACCATGATTTTTTTTAAGAGGTGTGAATAATTGGTCAGTTGATGCTCCTAAAAAATATTGATGTGGTCAGAAATATAAAAGTGATTTCAATTAATTTGTAGACCACGGAAATTCTCTATGGTTATCAGTAAAATCATCAGTGTGGCTAAATATCAGGAAGTTCCAACTATATCATTGTCATTATTTCCTAAACATCCAAACTTAAGATTTCATCTTGGTTGGTTGCATACAACTCTGTTACTTTGACTTATCACCTGAATCAGACACAATCAATTAAATGTTTGGGAAGGAAACAAAAAACCACTTCTCTATCGGTCGTCAACTTAAAATTTTCTGACTATGTTTGACAGTTGCGAAAAATTTCACTTGGAAATTCTCAGAATTTTTAGTTCTATTAAGATTATGTGGAGAAAAATTCTATCTAAGCCTAAGTGCTAGTACTGAATACTGCGGTCCACCCTACAAATGTCGTGAATTTGGCCCTCGCAAAGCCATCTCATAAAGAAAAAGGGAAAGATATTTAAGATTTCCGTCCATTTTCAATGATGCTAAAATATCTCAAATGAGTTGAATCAGTTCAATTTCCTTCCAGGAAGTTCACGAAGTTTTTAATCTATAAATGAACTTAAGTTTTCCGAAACCTTCGAAAACCTTATTTCCATATCAAGATAACTAATTGATTCATACATACATTAGTTCGGGGGAGTATACGTGACTATTTTCATTGCCAGAAAATAGACAGCACTCGATGTAATATTTTGTTTTTCTAGACTTAACCTATTTTGCGTTTATTCGATTATGAGAAATAATCCCCCACGTGCTCAGCCGATATATCAATCCGTCATATATCTTTCTTATCGCCTCGTAGACTCCAAACATCAGAGGAAAAACAAAGCAAGTTATAGGCAATTTACTTTGCGGGAAGGTAAATGTTATTCACTAGCCATGGCCATTTTGCTGTTTCCAACCAGATTCTATCTGAAAAGTGCTGTGTGGTAACTAGTACATGGTTTTGTGGTAAAGCAAAAAAATATTCGTTTTCAGGGAATCGCAGGGGTTAGATAACTTATATTTTCGCATCGAGATTTATATTTTGTGTTTAATATTCAAACCCGAATTGCAATAATATTTCAATTTTGATGCTTTATTGTGATGTCTCAGATAACTTAATTTTTTAAATTAATACCAGGGTCAACAAGATAGAAAAGTCCATAGCCAAGGAGCATTAGGAAAATCTTTTCAAAAGTAGAGGGAGTTTTTTTTTTCTTGAATCTGGTACACATATGGCTGACAATTTAAGAAATTTTCATCTTCACTTTTATCGTTATCATTATATTATCATTAGTATCTTCGTCATCATGAACGATCCTAAGAACTTTTTAGACTTAAAATGCTCTATACCTTGACCTTTTAAAACCACGCGGTCACAGGCAATTGATTTGGCGAAACCAAAAAGAGATAAATTCCTTAGCAGAGAGGGACAATTTGTTCTCCTTTCAAGATGTGTGCATGTAGAATGAATAGGAATGGGAATCATTGGATGCCATGTAATGCTTTTTACAGCTATGACTACTGAGCATTTTCGTTATTGAAAACGCCATATTATTGTTGCGTTTATTCAAATTATAACGAAATGTAAGCACATGGTAGAAATAAAAGAAAACTTCCCACATTACAAAAAAACATCTGTAATGTTCTAATCTTGCCTTGAAATTTCTTCATGAGGCTTGGCCTTAAACTGGGAAAACCTCACATTCAAATAATCACAGAGTAACTATAATGTTCATGATCTTCTTATGAAGCTTTGTTTTGACTAGTCTGATTAGAAGTGATATTTTTAACAGCATGGAAGAAATAAAAACTATCCGAGAGCTCATTATGCCGAAAAAAAATCTGATTATGTAATTCCGAAGAACCTATATTTTGATTGGAAAACTGTTAGTCTAGCTCAATCACACTCACAAAAGAACTAATTCAAAATGTTATTGTATTTTAAATAACTTACTCTATGTCTTTTCATCTTTAATTCAAATGTGAGAAAAAATTTGAGCTTTTTTCTAAAGATTGCTCCCTTGATAATTCTGGGATGTACTGTGATAAGATTTCCATCAAAATTGTAAACACTTCTGTTAAAATCCTGGAATCAGTAATCACCAATGAAAAGGTGCGTTATTAAAGTTTTTGTTCAATAGGAAATGAAATAATTAACAGCAGGGTTACTCTGCCAAAGAAATTGAAACATTCTAAACTTTGCTTCCACATAAGAACTTTCAACAATACTCGAGGAAATATTGATTGTTTGGAAGCTTTCTTACAACTTACCGCCAACCGGAACTTAAACAATGCTAATGAATTCTTTAACTATGTTATTAATTAGCATTGCACTTAACGTTTTCAGCCACATGAATTTCGTTTTATTCTAAGAGGGAGAATAAGATTAAATTTTCAGTCAAGCAGATCCGTTTGTGATCTCACCATGTCTATGAGCTCGATTTTGAATGAATACTGAGATTTGTATACATTCAGGATATCTGCGAAAGTTCCGGTGAATCGACACTTTTAATTATCGTCGGAAATCTAGCCTAAATATGGACAAATACTCATTGTTTCGCACATCGCAGGAAACTAAAAACATTCCTTTCACACTGACCACATATTTTGTTCGCCTACCAATTAGAAGCCTAAACCTTGTTTTTATTTTAAACCTGAATCTTGACTGCTTGTTTATGAATATTTCTTTGGTCTTAATCCAGTCAAATTCAGTCAATTTTCGTTCTTACTTTATGGCATAACACTCAGTATAAAATATTTCATTAGACGATTTCGATTCATGCTTTCACCCTTGCGAAAGGCAAGTAAGTCAAATGTCAATGGACCGATTGACCGGTATATGACTCATATTATGCATTAAATCCCAGATTTATTTCATGATGTAGATTTCGGTGCGCTCTGTGAACTGAACAGATCGGAGTCGCTAGTGTCTTGCCTGCCTATCACTGCGTCAGGAAAAGTACAGGGAAAGCGAATAGGGAAGTCACCTGGCTAATTCAGGCGATATGAAACAAATCATGCCTAAAAACACACACTCGATTTTCCTCCGAATATCATACATTAGCTGTTTGTAATAATTTTGAAGGTAAAATGTACTTACCAACGATATTTCAAAGCAATGTAGAGAGCACATTATGCTCACCTCATGAGAACTCACAGAAATGTTCCTGTTTATAAAACGTTGATGTGTTACTCTGCGGTTTACACAAATTCAAGGCGCGCATGTTTTGATCAATTCGATTGGTTGGTCTAATTTTTCCCAGCGGGCCTGCAGTATCTCTTACTTTGTCCTGTTATTGTTTCGTTGTGATCTTATTTGTTCTGTGCTTTCCTTTAGGATCCCAATGAAATTCAATTTCCGCTTTAGTATTGAAGGAAAAGGGAAGGTACTTGAAATCAGGCTTCACTCGTTATTTACAGAAGACAACATCTAAGTGAAATGATCGTTGAATTCAACATGACCACGCTTTTAGGAAATCCTAAACTGACCCTAGAAATCATAACCTTGAAAAGGTTCTGAACATAGAAAATTAAAATATAAAAGTATTACTTATAAGTAATGTATACCACGAATGACCGAAACCGGAGCGTTTGGGGGCGGAATTTTCAAGGATATAAAAACAACTTAAAACATGACACATGACATTAGGTTTCTTGTTTCACGTCAAATAACCAATCAATTTTATTTAAAAAACATCTTTTGTCTTTACATAATGTCTTAGCTTAAGACCCGCTGGGTATAACCATATCAATCAATTTTAATAGATCCCACAACTGAGAAAGTCTTAATTCGTATTCAACATTAAGCTTGAGGTTCAAATACCCACGAATTAAAATCCTTTGAGTGATCACTCCTTTAAGATTTAGTCACAGATAAATTAAAGGATTTTCCTCAGAGAATTAAGAGTGTGTTTTGAGATATGACAACAACGCATTGTTAGTAATAATTTTCCCTAATAGCCTCACCTGTTTAAAAATTAGCATTTCTTCACCCTCCAGCAGCATTTTATTCATGTTAAGACAGCCCTGAAAAAAATTAAGTTGTTGACGAGCATTAGTATGCTAATTAGCGCCACTAAAGTTATAGTAGATGTTGTAATCCTTGTTAGTGAGTTGAAAGCGCTAATTTTTGTAATTTTCAACCTTGAATTTGCATTTGATAAAATTCAAGGAGTATTTACCGAGTTGTTTTTAAATTTCGATGTTTAATGGACCTGTAAGTAACACATGATAAACGTAGATAATATCTAATTCAGAAAAATGTTATAGCATTATTTTATTAATAAGGCAAAATATGCTTCTTAAATATGTCAAACAGGGATTCGAAAATTCGCTGCATAAAATCAACTTTCTTTTTTTGTATTTTCCTTTTTCGTAATCATCTTCTGCTTTACTTTGAAATCCCATTCACCTACTAGTATGTTTGTATGTTTGTTTATTTCATTTTTTTTTATCCTGATTGATGATGAAGGTTTTGGCCCCTTCCAGCGTGTTTAAAAATTGCATAAGTTTAACGCCATTTTCTCTTTTCCATATTTTATCTTTCTATCTTTGTACAAGGCTACTTACTATTCCACTTAGTCGGATGAACACCTGAGATAAAAATTATCATTTAAATTTACACAAAAAAATTACTGAAATGAAAATAACGGATAAAGAAGAGTTACACACATTACCCTCGTTCAACTTGACATATGGACTCATCGATGAACGTATTAACAAAAGTTCATAAATCACCGATAACAAACCTTTCACAGTTATAAAAACGAACGAGTTTGCAGACATCCTTTCGTTATTATCTACGATCTACATAAAAATTTGTATCTAAACGTCCCAGCTGGACTCAGCAGTTGAACCAGTAAGCAATTTAGTTTTTTTTCTTAGTTTCCTATCTCTTTGTGCAGCAGTGGCCCAAATGCCAGCGTGAAACCCTAAATTTGTTGCTAATAGGCATTAAAGATGATCTGAAGTGAAAAAGGGTCCGATGATTTATGTCCCGTAATTGTCAACAGCTGCTTTGCAACCAATTAGAATTACTTAATGTTAAGGTACTTATGTGAGGTATCGACAAATAGACGCGCTCCCTGCTGTAAGATGAAATACAAACTCGATGGAGATTTTAGAGCCATGTTTTGGCCAAGTTTCTGTCAAATCATAAACCAGACGTCTGTCACCTCTTTGGTTCAGAAGACCAAACAGTCTGTCATCATTATTGACAGGTATGACAGGTATCATTGGGTCTGCTTGCCCTCCTACCACTGATTAAACCGACTTTATTACAAAGTGCGACAGGTACTTTATTTGCAAAGTGCGACAGAGCAATCGTGTGCAAGTGGCTCAAATGTTATGTTTGTAATCTCTTTCAATCCTCGCCATCGTTAGCTATCCTTGCACCACCATTATTAGTTGGCGTTTCTTTTGTGTTCTTCTATCTTACAAAACTGATATTTTGAATTCAATTGCAATCCATTTTAATATATTCCATCCTAAGCCGTACTCTTCCGTGACTCTTGGTTTATCATCACCTCTTTCGTGTTTTTGTGTCTCATCGAACAGATATGTTGTATTCATGTTATCAATCCGTTTAAATCTTCTCTATTCTAGGCCCGACCACCCTTGTTCCACTGATGGCTTATGATGGTCTCTACCTTTGTGTTTTTCCATCTCATCAAATATATTCAGTCGTTTGAAATCCGCGTCAATCTTCTTCATGGTCTTGGCTATCCTTGTTCGTTCTTAATTAGCTTGAGAAATAAAGAGGTAAGTTTTTAACGAAACTGTGATGCTGCGGCGGTGTTAGAGTATAACAGGGTAGTTTAGAACCATCAACTGAGTTGATAACGAAAATTGGCCACCGTAAGGAATTTCAAAGATGGCGTTTAGAGCGTTAGCCTTTCATCACAGCGATTGGAGGAATTTTGAGTTGTGTGTACACAAACCACAATTCCTCCAATTTCTCCGCTGGCCAATTTATGTTATCAACTCAGTTGATAATAGCAAATTACCCTTCTTAGCCTGGTTTAAAGTTGCTTATTCTGTATATTTTTTCACCTTACCAAACTAGTATTTTCTTGTTATTTACACTGCCAAAATGTATTTTGAGTACATATTTCAATAACATTGAGAGTTGAAAAACGAATTCAATAACACTGACGAGAGCGTAATTGCGATCAATAACCTGATACAGCAATATTCTATTGAGTGTCGAATGTAATCAGAGACTGTTTCATTTTTGCATTAATTTAATCAGTGACTGGTCTACTAAATTCGCGCCATCCTCTTAACCAATCAGACGCAAAAAAAAAAAAAAAACAATCGTCACTTGGTCGTGACTCATTTCTTACTAATACCGCGTCAAGAAATGGTCCATGGCTCCGGCTCAACTTTTCCGTTATTGGTAGAGCCGAGGGACTTTTGCCGACGCGAGGCGGAAAAGCTGGTAACCGATCGAGAAAATAAACGGAATGACAATTTCGCTACATTGGAGAGCGGGTAGTGTAAATATGCGCTAGTAAGATCGATCTCCGTCGGTGTACCCCTGGGAAGACTTGTCTCTGGATGAGCGCATTTAGTCAAAAGTTCGCAACGCACGAAAATATTTCTTTACTATACTAGCGGTGTTCAATACAATCGAAAGTAACGATTTTCTGTACAGAGCCTCGAGGTGATTGAAAATCCTGTTTCTGGCGCACAGCTGTTTTCGAACGAGGCGCTAACACGAGAATTTGTTCTTTTCAATCAAACGCGCGGTAAGATGAGGGTGGGATATTTTTAATCACGATGAAGGTGCGAGTTTTTATCTCCTCTTTCGAAGAAAAGAGACAGTTCTTGCTTGAAAATAAGTCTCTCTCTCATAAAAAAAACTATCATAGTTTTAAAGCGGATTTTAACAGTCTTCCTTAACTACACAGCTATCAACATATTTTCCAAATTTTCGTAGAGGGCGGGCGTTGACCTTGTGTCTGGCAATGTTACAATACACGGTATAAATCGAAAATAATAGATACAACAAGAACCTTTATGGAGAGAGCAAAGCAGAAAAAAAAGTCGAGGACCCAATGGAGCTGGTACGAACAGGACACAAGGACCCACCCGTGAGATAAAAAAGATAACACCTGATAGATATTACTCAATAGAAAAAAAATTATAAACTACGGGTAAGAGGAGCAGGATCGCACAATTTTGGATGGTTTAACTGTTCTCAACTTGAGTGCCCATCGGCTAATGGTGATGTGGACCTTCTATAAACCTTAATTGCATCTTCACAGTCTGTATAAAATAAACTCATTTCAGTAACTCAGCTAAGGGTGTCAATTACTGTAAACAAGTTCCTCAAACTATCGTATCCTTAAAAAAAACATTAAAAACGTAAGCTTTTGCTTTCCAGTTTAAAGTAATAAGAGCTTACATATAAAATCATGATTTAAATAAAGGCGAGATTAAGGTGTCCTAGAAGATTTTTTTTAGAAAACGTTATAGTAACGAACAATCGTACTAATTTAAACGGAAAGAAAAAACTTTTTGTCACACAGGCGTTGCCTGGAAAACACCTCTTAAAGATAAACTTTCGTTTCTCCCAAGTAATTCATAGGTAGCTTGGCTCGATGTGTTTATCGTCTTCAACGGCACCAGATCTACCCTTCAACTTAACATGTAAATGCAGCGTAAAGTTGAAAGTAAGTTACAAACTGAATTATTTGCCATTGAGGCTCTTGTTCTAAGACTGCGCAAAATCAAGCGATTTCATGTTCCTGTTTTGTCTAGGACGGCCAGAAAATTTACGTCTCAAAACATTTGTGCTGAGATATAATTTAGACCATTAAATATTTTGATTTGGCACCTCCCCTTTGCTCTCCCTATTGTTTGCTTCATTAGTATTAGAGTGCCAAGGTTTCAAAGTTTTCCGAGTTCGAAAGTTTCCTTTGTTTAATACCCCTAACATTATCGAAGTCAACACTACGGCGGACGATCATAAAACCATGCATGAGCCAAAATGAATTTTTTTTTCTTCAGTTCTCCTCAGATTTGGACGAATTTATTTTTCCTCGAAGTAAACTATATTCCAATTCTACCGATGTAGTTTCAAGCACATAGGAACTGGATGCTGAAAGCGTTAGGTTCTGATAATTCTTAACCAGAGAATTCTTTTGTGTAGGTTTGGCTACTTTTATAAATCAAGTCTTAACTCTAACAGCAAGATGCCTTTCAGTAGTTAAACCGGGTTTTATAGGATAAAGAACACGACTTTTTCTCAAACTTCTCTTACCTTAATCACTTGCTTCATCAGGACGTGACGCCTCACTAGCGATCTCAAAGGAAACAGTTGAAGAAGCTAATGATCTTAAGTGACATGGAATATGCTAAAATCGTCACGTTATTCATAGTAAATGCGGTAGGTAAAAACAACACTGATAGGGCTACTGTTGATTAATGAATTTTCAAGGAAATGCATATCAACCTTCCATAATTCATTTAAATCTGGAGCTATCCTTTGCAACATCCGCGCTTCTCACCTCTGTGATTGCACCATCCGTGATTGCTTTGTGATACGACCATTTTTTTCGTTCCTTCATTAAAGATTGATGTAAAAGAACGGAACTAACCACGACCACATTTAAAATAATTGTACCTGAAATAAATTGTTTTGTTTTTGTCTTATATTTTCCTTAAAAAGACTTCTTTTAGCAATTGTTCTCTGGAAAAAATTACTTTTTCTAAATTGCTTCAAATATTTCACTATTTATAATCGTTCCCATGACGAAGTAGACTCACTGGAGCATAAATTCAAAATTAGAAACGGACGAAGACTCTTATATGTTAACAAACCTCATACCTTCAATCAATATCCTTCCAATTAGCGCTAAAAGCTGTTTCTCATGCAAAAAATTATAGAGTATTTGGATTTGATTTTGGATCGAACGGAATAACGCCGGTAGTTTTCTGTTATCATTTCCTACTGTGTAAATTGGGGTATTTCATGTTTATTTCCATCAGTAACTTAACAGTCTCGAGGACGTTCCTCGTGAAGCAGACAACTTGACTAAACTTGATGAAGCGATATTTGACAGAAGTTTCGAGTCAAGGACGCAGACCATAAGGTGGAAAATGAAGACGCAAATGAGTTTCGAAAATTTGAAGTTCCAGAAGCAAAATTTTCTCACGATATGCCGCAATTGAGTTTCCGCGGGAAGATGGGATTAAAATTCTTTAGCTGTTGTTATTTAGATCGCACGTATCAACATGACTCCTCTATCAAAAAAAGGGGAGAAATTGCGTTATTTATTTCTAACAAGTGGTAAAATGGATGTGTGCTTTGGGTTTTTCAAACGTCGTCTATGGTATTTACAATCGACAAGAGTCACCCGGTTAAAGCATTCAAGAGTAGAAATGTCATTACTGAATTTGGCCTTTACTAAAAGGATGAAAAAATATGCAATTTTAGCGAAAAATCAAAAAGCAGGAATTGTATCGACTCTTCCAATAGCGTGCAATTTGCAATCGCCGCTGAAAATGGAATGGAACGGTTTGCTTTATCATGTATGGTTCGATACTTTCTTTAAACCGTGTAATTAAAATCTAAACGCCATGGCTTTGAAAATTATAACTGTTTTGGGCTTATTGTTAATTAAAATAGCACCTATGTCTGCGTTTTTTTTTGAATCCTTAGCATGTTACTTCAATTTCTATTTCAGTGGTGGCCACTCAAGTAAGGAAATGCTATGAGGCTTTTAATAACTGTTAAAGATATCGTTTTAGTCTTCTCCATTCTAAACAACACTTACTCTTTTTTTTTTTGGGTTATTCCTCGCACTTTGGCTGCCTTCTCCTCTTTTCCTAAACCTTGCCAGCGTTTTGTTGAATTTCTTCATTTACGTAGTATTTTTATCTACAGCGAAGAATGTAAGTTCGTGACCATTTTGAATGATCAAGCCGAAGATAAAGATCACATTTTGTACGAATTCAGTCTTCATCTTCCCTTAAGTATGTATCAGACATATCTTTATGTGAAATTCGTGATCAGATGTCGATAAACAATCAAACAACAAAATGAAATCAATTTGCATATATTCACAGACCTCTACAATAAATTTATTGAAATTTTTTCAAGTAAAGAAGGTCTTAATGAATCCTGGAGGCGCGGTGGCCTCGTGGTTAGTGCGCTCGACTCCGGATCGAGTGTTCCGGGTTCGAGCCCTAGTCGGGGTCATTGTGTTGTGTTCTTACGCACGACACTTTACTCTCACAGTGCTTCTCTTCACCCAGGTGTACAAATGGGTGGCAGCAAATATGCTGTGGTAACCCTGCGATGGACTAGCATCCCATCCAGGGGGGAGTGGCAATACTCCTAACCACTTCATGCTAAGGAAACCGGAGTTAATCCCCGGCCCCATGGGCCACTTGGGCTTGTATAAAGACTTTACTTTACTTAATGAATCCCAATCAAATCTTTGTGACGGCTGGAATAATAAAAAAAAAACATTAACGCTTTCACTCCCAAGATTTCATTAATAATTATCCCACTCTTTGCCGTATGATTTTTATGATGTCACTAATAAATATTTTTATGATGTCACTAATAGTCCCTTAACTGATAATTTCATTTGTTCTCATCGCTTGTCTGCTTGATATTGTATTGATAATGTAAGGAAAAATACTGTTTTGACCATTCATGGGGTTAAAAGTCAAAGACATCTACGTAACTGAACAATTTTCCACGTTACATTGGGTAAGAATCACACAAGGCCTAAATTGAAGATACGAGGGTCATGATCACGTGATTTTAAATCTTCATCGGCGCTCATATATTTTATTCTCCTTAAGAAAAAACTCCATTTATGTACGAACTACGCTATGGCATGCATATGGTAAAATTTTGCTATGTACCGCACATGCTTAAATAACTTTACTCTCTGTTAATAAGGTGGCAGTCATTTCCAAATTTTATCTAGCTATAAACCCGGCCATTACACCCTAACATTAGTATGCTTGTTCTTCAGACAGTTATCTCTACATTTCCTATGGTACTTACAAGAAAAATTTGTCTAACAATCAAGGGCTTCTTTGTTTTGCAATAATTTCCTCTATTCTCTCGACCTTACCATAACGTTTGATTTGGAGGTGATACTCTCGAGAGAAATTATGTCTTAGTTGCTTATCAATCTTAGAGGTTAAAGACAGAAGAAAATGATTTCGTTTCTAAACAGAGGAGCGCTACCAACGAAATAAGGCACCACTTGGTTTCAAGTCCAAATTTGCCATAGAAAAAAATATCTGTTATCCACAATACTATTAACGATGATTTATGACATATTTAGTCTGCAATAGGCGATAGGCTGTGGCAAATGACCAGAGCCTGTTGCACTCCATATCCACTTAGCACCCTGGACTATACCAGGAACTGAAGTAGGCCAATGTGGCCCGTGAAATACTATCTCTTTGGCCGTCGGCCACATTCGGTCATCAAAATCCTGCGTCATCCATTTACATCCGGGAAACGGACCGTCACTGCATTTCCAGCCTGAATTAGTTACCAGTCCGTTGCTAAGGGAGCCGAGAATTCCGCCACGCCTGGGCTTTTGGGCCTTAGCTACCACTGAAACAA